GTGTGTGTGCTGCAAAAATAAGAATATTCATGCTTACTCAACCTTCAGAGACTACTGGACCCTAGCTTTTCACAGGATCAACTTGTGCAACCTGAGGAAAACAGCTCCCGAATATGTGTCAATCTGAAACAAAGGTAGATGGCTATACCATATACACTAACAGCCCAATCTGGCCTGCAACCTACTATCAAGTATACACTAAAACAGATTTTTTCAATAAATGTCCATAAACTGCAAAAATAATCTCATTTTAGTATACAAAACACAGGATTCAATTATGTGAAAGTTTAAAACCCTTCAATCCTTACTTTGTCTACATTTATTTTTCCTTTTCTCTTATTCTGGAAGAAAAAGACAAAATAACTGTTTTCTTGCAAGTCTTGTTTGTTCTTTGTAACACTCATATGCACTTTGCTGTATTTCCAAAGCTGGGTTTGGGAACAGGTTGTTGGTTCTCTCAAAGGTTTAAAAACAGATAGATAAGGTGGTCAGGCACTCGCATTTCTTGAAGTACTTGCCATAGTTTGCTGTGGTCCACACAGTCAAAGGCTTTTGCGTAGTCAATGAAGCAGAACATTTTTATGGCTTTCTCCATAACCCAGCGCATGTCAGGAATTTGGTCTCTAGTTCCTGTGCCCCTTCGGAATCCAGCTTGCATTTCTGGGAGTTCTTGGTCCACATACTGAAGCCTACCTTGGAGGATTTTGAGCAGAACCTTGCTAGCGTGTGAACTGAGTGTATTCTTTGGCACTGCCCTTCTTTGGTATTGGGATGTAGACTGATCTTTTCCAGTCCTCTGGCCACTGCTGAGTTTTCCAAACTTGCTGGCATATTGAGTGGAGCACTTTAAGAGCGTCATCTTTTAAGAGTTTAAACAGTTCGACTGGAATGCCATCACCTCCACTGGCCTTAGGGGGACGTGGTGGCGCTGTGGGCTAAACCGCAGAAGCCTGTGCTGCAGGGTCAGAAGACCAAGCAGTCGTAAGATCGAATTCACGCGACGGAGTGAGCTCCCGTCGCCTGTCCCAGCTCCCGCCAACCTAGCGGTTCGAAAGCATGCAAATGCGAGTAGATAAATAGGTACCATCTCGGTGGGAAGGTAAACAGCGTTCCGTGTCTAAATCACACTGGCCATGTGACCACGGAAAGATTGTCTCCAGACAAACACTGGCTCTATGGCTTGAAGAGCGGGATGAGCGCCGCCCCCTAGAGTCGGACACGACTGGACAAAAATTGTCAAGGGGAACCTTTACCTTTACCTTTACCACTGGCCTTGTTGTTAGCCATGCTTTCTAAGGCCCACTTGACTTCACTTTCCAGGATGTCTGGCTCAAGGTCAGCAACTACATTGTCTGGGTTGTCCGGGATATCCAAATCTTTCTGGTATAATTCCTCTGTGTATTCTTGCCACCTCTTCTTGATGTCTTCTGCTTCTGTTAGGTCCCTTCCATTTTTGTCCTTTATCATGTCCATCCTAGTGCAAAATGTTCCTCTAATATCTCCAATTTTCCTGAACAGATGTCTGGTTTTTCCTTTTCTGTGAATTTCGTTGTATGTGTATATACTTACAATGACAATAAATTATTATTATTATTAAAAGCTTAAGAGGTACAAAAAACTTTATGTTGCTGGGGATGGGGGAATGAGGGATCAGTAGGACACCTGCAAAATTGCATTGAGGGATCTGCAGCTAGAGCCTGGACATTTACATTAACGAAGTTCCCAGAGCATGATCCGATCACTTAGGGGTGGCTCCAGTATGTCATTATATTCCTTTTTTCTTCAAAGTAACCTTTCAGTTTTTCATTGTAAGCCAGGGACTAATACATGTGTTCTAAGGTAGTGGTTCTGTCCACCATATGTTAAACTTAAACTAGTAGTATCCTTGACTATGGGACATGCTGGCTAGAGCTTTGGGACTCAAAGTGCAAAACATATGAAAATCGATGACTGGTTCAATGTGTGTTTGTCATTAATGTTACCAGCAGGAAGTGGTGACTTACACATGTCAATGAGTCATCATAGATTCATGGCACAGACACTGCTTTTCTATGGGCCTCATTATACTATACTTTTTAGTGGATTCAGTTCATATACTGAGATATAAGTTATCAAGTAGTTAACAGTTAGTGAGATTCAAGTGGTACTTGTTTTCCAATCTCTAGTTCAGTTAAGGACAAGATCATGACTGCTTTCAGCAGTGCAATTCCCTGCACTTACCAGGTGAAATAAAATGTAGGAGTTAAGTCATTAAAAATCAGTAGAATCATCACAACAAGATTCTTTAATTTACATCATAGTAATTCAAAGGATTTGTAAATTTAAAGTGGCTTCAGGATGCAACTGAATCTTCAAAATAATAAAGCCAAATACTTACTTTTCCTTTATTTCCTTTAATGAACCTTCCAGTGACTTAGATTTTATATTTCCATGTCCAGGTGACTTTTCCCATTTGCTGTCTTCTATGTCAGATTTTTCTTTTTCTCTGTGCTTTTCTGTGGCTTGCTCATCTCCTTTCTCAGGCTTTTTAAGAAGCTAAGAAAAATATTATTTTATTTATTTAGACACAGAATGTCCTCCATTGAAAAGATATTAGGGTGGTGCACCATAAATATAATTAGAAATGGCCATATAACTATAAAACACAATACATGCAATAAAATATACTTATGAAATAGATTCTAAGAAGTTAGTTGAACACAATAAAATTCACTACTTGACTTAAAGCTTCTGGGCAAACTGGAAAATATAGAACTGATATGAAAATGATTTCAGAGTCAGCTTCAGTCACAAATCTATAGGGAAAGCATCCCAGAAATTAGGCATCATAATAACAGAGGTTTTGTTCATAGCACATAATGGCCAAAATCCTTTTCCACAGTTATGCAAACAAAATAACTTTTAGAGGCGAATTGCAGTAAGTTAAGAAATCTGCACGAACCTTATGTGTTTCACACCAAGTTGTGTGACTCAGTATTCAACAGAAAACATCTATGGAGATTACCCATTTGCTTCCAAAAGTTACACCTTTGCATAACTGTGCAACAGGATTTCAGCCACTATGTAGTAGCTGCATGGCATTCAAACAGATACAGACTGCATTGGTTGAAGCTTGAAAGTTATGTTTAAGAGCATACGCCATATGACACATCACAGTGAACCATCTAGAACAGTGGTCCCCAACCTTTTTGACATCTTGGACTGGTTGGGGGGGATGGGGTCTGTGTGTAGGGGGGCAGGGCACCCCCATGCTCGCATGCATGTGGAAATGGGTGGGGGTGATCACATGGAGTGCGCGTACACTCTTGCACATGCATGAAGGGGTGGGGTGCTTGTGTGCATGCGCAAAGGGTGGGGGAGCTCATGGGGCAGGTGCGCACTTGCGTGCATGTGCAAAGGGGCTGTGGGGGCATGCGTGCAGGGGGGGCGGAAGATCTGTGTCCGCGGCCCGGTCCGGTCACGGCCATGGATTGACATAGGGCCGAGGACCGGGGATTGGGGACCCATGATCTAGATGGTTATTGTGAACCACTGTAATCAATCTATCCCTGTCTAGGAATGGTTATAGCCCCTGAACAGGCAATGGTGGCAATCTAGTTCACAGAGGCCACCTGAGCCTTAGGTGACAAACTGGATCCAGGAATATCCCAAGCTACCCACCTGTCCTTCCAAGAGGTCCTCACTCCAAAATGTGCAATAATCTTGTTCAGTGGCTTCATATGGATATTGTGAAACATGGGGGAAATGACAGAACCTTGTAAAACCTCAAAACACAGACAATACAGATTTCAGCAGAGTCCCCCTTTAGCTACTTTCTGAAATTGATTCTGCAAATAGGAGCAGAATCATATCACCTACCCCCAATAGTTCCCCAATACCCAAGTCTGCTTCTATGGATAGGCTTATACACATAGTTTTCTATCTTTCCTTAGACTTTTCTTAGCCTAACCAGAAGCTGCCTCTCTGTTTTACAGTTCTGTTTCACAGTTTAATTTCTTTCTCTTATCTTTTGCTTGACTTGGCCAATAGTTGTCTGGGAATATACCAATGTTTATTGGGAAAGGTATATGTTTAGCATATCTGTGCTAGTCAAAGGCTAATCAGTTCTGGACACCTGGAAATGGGAACTCTATGTATTATAAATTTGCTTGTTAGTTAAGTTCTTGAAAGGTACACATATTATCATTTTGCCAATTAGTGACGGCGCCTTATCAATGTATCAATAACATAATGTATCAAATACACTTCAGTCAATTTGTCATGGTTGTGGTCCAAGGGCAAGTGTTAGTTGCACATCAACTAAAACTGAATTACTGAAACTAATTAAGTGAAATTAGATGGTGCTCTGGTCATTTCTGAAAGCTTCACTTCCACTGTGTATTCATAAGGGATGTGGTTTAGATTATACCTGACTATCCCAGTGGTTTTTCCTACTCTCTTCAGTCTAAGCTTGAATTTTGCTATGAGAAGCTGATGATCAGAGCCATAACCAGGTCTTCTTTTTGTTGACTGTACAGAGCTTCTCCATTTGGCTGCAGAGAATACAATCAATCTGATTTCAGTATTGCCATCTGGTGATTTCCATGGATAGTTGCCTCTTGTGTTGTTGGAAAAGAGTGTTTGTGATGACCAGCTTGTTCTCTTGACAAAACTCTATTAGCCTTTTCTATTTACATGTAACCTTCCTCAGTGCCCCATCTCTTCTTCCAGGTCTTCTTTTTGTTGACTGTACAGAGCTTCTCCATTTGGCTGCAGAGAATACAATCAATCTGATTTCGGTATTGCCATCTGGTGATTTCCATGGATAGTTGCCTCTTGTGTTGTTGGAAAACAGTGTTTGTGATGACCAGCTTGTTCTCTTGACAAAACTCTATTAGCCTTTTCTATTTACATGTAACCTTCCTCAGTGCCCCATCTCTTCTTTATAGGTATGCAACAATGTAACACCAAAATAAAAAAATAAGCTATTTAGCAATAAATTATATCTGCACAAATTTTTACAAAATATTTTATTTTTTCTGTATAAAAGTGGCAAAATGAAGAGAAACATACAATATTAAGCATTACTCATTTTACAAATGTGAACTTATTTTAAATGAGTCAAAAGCATATTTTTCAGCTAAAAATCAGAGACCTATACATCCATCAAATCCTAAATAATTCCAGACTGCAAGCCTTGTTCTTCTTCAGCATATACTCTTAAGAATTCAAAAATGTTTCTTCTAAAACATATATAATTTATATTTAAATTTGCATATGGAGGTGGTGTTGCTGCAGTCTATTCATCTTCACTTCTATGTACAGTTGATTTCTACCCAAAATTGGCTAGAAATAACCCGGTCTCCCAAATCAAAAACATAAACCATTCTGGTTGTCTTCTGCCATCCTCACTGGATCTCTCCCATGTACAGCCTTTTGTCACTAGATGCAGAAAGTACTAGTGGAAGAAATACAAACATGTCTCAGTTAATTGTTAAGTGTTTCAACCAAAGCTTCCTGTTTTTGATACCTGTAATGCAGACATTTTTAATTATATTACTAGACTATATTTCCACCAGTTTGGACTATTACTTGAAATGTACAGTATGTTCTTTAACTGCAATACATTTTTCCCTAACAAAATATATTTCCCTAAATATAGTGGGCATTACTTTTACTAAAGAATGTTTTCCACCAAGAGATTCTTCGCTTCAACTCATGGAAGCTTGTGCCATCTGGATTTGGATGTGACTTTAAATTAAAAGCACACAATTCAAAAGGCAGGGATTATTTGTAGGCCAATTAAGTAAGACAGTGAGAATGGTAAAGGGTTAAGGTGGGCAAAGCTTATGCTGCTGGGCATCTCTGGCTGCAATCTGATGCATAGTTACTTAGGAGTTAAGCTTCTCCAAACTTGATAGCCAGAATCCTGTTGGTGTTTGCATTAAAGATTGGCACATGGCACAGTTTGGCTTTGCGCTCGCACAAGTGTTCTGTGGGCACCATGCACTCCTTCTCCCGCCTCTCTGCACACTCACCCATTCCCCAAGTGATGCACACTTTCCTCCCTGCCTCCTCAACATGGCTGCCCATTCACAAGTCACAGCATGCCCTTCCCTCCTTTGCTTCCTCCTGAGGCTGCCCATTCAAAGGCAGTGCAGCAGGCATTCCTGCCCTGTCTCATTGTCAGAGTGGGTGGCTGCCAGAGAAGGTGGAGGAGGGAGGCACTCACTGTGATAGATGGGCAGTCACACTGAGGAGACAGGGAAGGAAGCATGCATCGCCCGGGGAATGGCCAAATGCATACAGAAGGTGGGGGAGGGGAGTGCATGGCACCTGCAGAACTGGGCCAAAGCGCCAAACTGTAGTTTGTGTTCATCTCTAGTTTGCATAACTTGTTGTGGCTAATACAACTAGTCAAAGAGGTTCCAGAGCACATCTCAGTTGTGTAAATAAGTGCATGCATTGTTTCAACTCTTGATCAGTGTCTTGGGTCAATAAAGGACTGGATGAGTGTGAATAAATGGAAACTTAATCCAGACAATTCCGAGATGCTTCTGGTCTGTCGGAAGGCAGATCAAGGAATAAGAATGCAGCCTGTGATGGGTGGGGTTATACTCCCCCTGAAAACATAGAAGCAAAGCTTGGGGATGCTCCTGGATCTCTGAGCCTGGACTCCCCGGTTTCAGTGGTAGCCAGGAGTGCATCTGAACAATTAAAACTAGTGTGTCAGCTGCACTAGTTCCTGGAGAGGTCTGACCTGACCACAGTGACACATGCCTTAGTTATATCCCAGGTAAATTGCTACAATGCCTTCTATGTGGTGCTATCCCTGGGAAGTGTTTGGAAACTTCAGCAGATTCAAAACAGTAGCCAGATTGCTAATTGCGGCCACAGGGATCATATAATCCTCCTGTAAAAAGCAGCTCCATTGGCTGCTGATCTATTTCCGGGCACAATTCAAAGTGCTGTGTTTACTAACCTATAAATCCCTCAGTGGCTTGGTCCAAGCTATCTCAAGGACAGAATCTCCCTTTAGGAGCTAGCTTGGCTATTAAGGTCACAGGAGAGGCCAGGCTCACCCCATCTTTTCTGTCCTTCTTCAAGCAGACAGAGACCCTTCTCTTCAGGCAAGCTTTCCCTCAGTGACTGGCTGAGTTTTTAAATGAATTTATTTTTGATGTTGGCTTGTTCATCTTTTTTAGAGTGGCATTTGTTTGATCCTTTTAAATATATGTATACTTGCTATTTTTAGCTTTAAATGTTGTGTTTTAATGATGTAAGCTGCCTTGGATCCTTTTTAAGAGAAATGCTGGGTAAAAATATTTTTAAATGTAAATATTAAAATGAGGAAAGCACATGACTGAGATCACCCTGGCACCTCATCATTAGCCACAGCAAATTACACACACACTAGAGTTTGCTTTTGACAAAACAGACAGTAGCTTTCACTCCCACCTGCAGAAAAGTGAGGGAGGGCAGTAATATAAGCTGAATATAGCTCACCTCACTACAATAATAGACAGATCCGTATTTACAAAATAAGTTAATTGGTTTTGCAGCTGGAGTGGAGCTATTAGTATGTTCTGCAAAAAGCTTTCCTTTAGTTATCTGTATTGAGCAAGAACCACAACCAAGGAAGAGTGAAGCACACAGAGATCACACAATCCCTCTGATCCTTTTAGTACTGTACAGCAGAGGTTGTGTCAACCCTCGGTCCATGGCCTGAGCCAGACTGGGCCGTGGAGGCAGACTTCCCGCCACACGCATCACCCTCCCCATAACTGCTTTGTGTACATGTGCGTGTGCCAGCACCAGTGTGAACGCTCCCCCATCCCTTCACACATGCGGGCAGGCACATGCGTGAAGGGTGGGGGAGCACACACGTTGGTGTTGGCGGGCATGCGCATGCTCCCCCACCGCTTTGCACATGCATCTGAGAGTGTGCACACGTCTGTGCGAGCATGCGGGTGTGTGTGTGCCCCGCCTTCCTCAGAGGCTCAGCCAGTCCCCAGTCCCAAAAAGGTTGGGGACCACCGCCGTACAGTATACTCCCTTTTACTAATTTAAACACTTCCTTTTAATTGTTATTATCCACCTTGGGTCCTTGTTAAGGAGAAAGGTGGGTTAAAATAATTTAAATACATAAGTAAATAAGTATGTGAAGAGTAGCAGACGACTTTGTCCCTTCAGGTCTCCAATGTACAGTGGGGTCTTGACTTGAGAACTTAATCCGTATTGGAAGGCGGTTCTCAAGTCAAAAAGTCTGTAGGTCAAGTCTCCATTGACCTACAGTGCATTGAAAACCGATTAATCCCGTAACAGGCCGTTTTTGTTCCATTTTGGTTTTTTTCTGGTCTGTAAGTCAATTCTCAGGCTGCAAGTCAAACCTAAATTTTGCGGCCAGAGAAGTCTGTAACTCAAAAAGTCTGTAAGTCAAGCCGTCTGTAAGTCGAGGGTCCACTGTATCAGAGTTCATTTTTATAAGAACACACAGGCAGGTTCAGAGAACTAATTTGAAGGCTGCACCAACCTACATACAGAGTGGTGCATTTGTTCAACAGGACAGGACCCTGGGAGAGACTGGTTGTTTGCCTTTTTTTAAGTAACAGGATCCACTATTGAGCTACATGATGGACTTTGAGGCTGCAGAGGCAAGATGCAGTTGCAGGTTACCAGCTGAAGCCCACTGAGCTAGATAAGCCGTATTTACTGCGCTCCTGCGGTTCCACTACCGTTGCTAGTAAAATGATCATTTGCATTTTTTCTGGATTTTTGTTTTGGGAGTTAATGTTGTTCCATCAACTCATTATAATACTTAGAGGCAGGAACTTACTGAACTGATTTCTCCTGGCTAGGAAATTGGGCAGAGGCAGCACAGCTCTCAGCTGAAAAGGGGAATACTGCCTCTCTCTATCACTGAGAGGTGCAATGCAGGTTTAGGGATGGCAGTGGACTTTCACGATTTATACTACTGATGAGGAAATGCTAGCCTGTTCTTAAAGTAGCTCCCATCCCACAAAGGAACCAAGGGTTTTCTGAAGTGGAGAGAAGCAGCCTACTGGACTGTAAGCAAACCTCTCACCAAAAAACATTCAATGTATGCCATGTGCGTTCTGTTACTGCCATTACTACTAAGGCATCCCTTACAAGAAACAGGATCAGTCTAAGAGGTGGTTCATGATTCTCTGTCAGAGCTGGTTAACAGACTCTGTTTATAATGCTAATTCCAAAGAAAGCAGGTTCTCTACTTGAAAAGCACACATTTTCAAGTACACAGTTTTGTGCTTCTAACAGGACTTACTGATTGGCTCTTCTGGATGAAAAGCGACTTCATTTACTGAACCAGCATGGCCTGGCAGCTTGTACAGGATTCTTCTTGAGGTTGTGTCCCACACATAAACAAACCTGCATAAGACAAAAGTTTGCAAAAGCTTCTCAAATCCAATAAACTAAAAATAAGCAAGCAATTTACATTTGACCCAGTTACTCCCTTGTTCAGGATTTTTTGAGTTCTAAGTTATGCACTGTTTAGTGCAGTTTCATTTGAATTAATCAAAGACTGGCACAGAATCCACCTGTAAAAGTTAACCTATTGGCTGTATGACCTTCGATGTACACCCTTGCATTTGATTTTAAATCCATGAAAACTATCTCATTCAAAGGAATCCTTACTTGGAAATCTAAATCACAGGGGTGACCTCTCAATCCAAAGAACTACAACTCTTTAATTCAGCTAATTCTCCCTGCTGCTTTAGCAACAGGAATTGATTTAAATCAAGTCGATTCAAATAATGATTTAAATCACTAGTCAGTAAGAGTTGATTTAAATCATGATTTTTAAATGTAAACACTCATTCTTGCTGGTAATTATAATCTTTAATATCTGCAATCGGATGAAGATTTCATATTTAAAATAATAACCTATAGCAGAACTGATTTTAGTTTAATAGGTCAATTACTCATACTTGGAAAACTACCGTATTTGCTGGCGTACAAGATGACTTTTTGGGCCCAAAAAAACATGCTCCAAGTGGGGGGGTCGTCTTGTACGCCAGGTGCACTGAATGACGCGGGGCCGCACTGGCCGGGGAGGAAGCCAGGCGGGCAGGCAGGCAGTCGGTCTGGATGGAGGGAGGGAAGCACAGCCTGCCATGCCTTAGCAGCCAGAGCCCACCGCCAGGCTGCCCGCTGCCCCACGCCGCTGAGCCAGCTGCCTGCTCACCCGCCTGCCGCCGGATAGCTGCTTCACCTCTTCCTCCTCCACCACCACCACCACTGCTGTCCACCCGGCCGCTTCCTCTCCTCGCCCTCCTTGCCGCTGAGCCAGCTGCCCGCTCGCCCGTGCGCTGCCGGAGAGCTACTTTCCCTGTCGCCTTGTGTGCCGGCAAATACAGTACTTTAATTGTTTTATTTAACTAAAACAACATTATATAGCTTACATATTCTTGCATTTGCTTAAACACCAATGTTTATGAACTGAAGTGGTTAAACAAAAAATATTTCAAAAAAAACACTTCAAGCTATATGCACAAAGATCCCAAGGTTTGTAAACTGCTCAGAAGTTTCACTTTCATTTTTACTGCTTGCCCTTTCCTCCTCACACTTTCAGTCTGGTACAGATGTATTTCACTCCAAATAAACTTTAAACCGAGCAGTTAAGGCAATGTGTTCCTTGTTTGTACATAGATTTGTAGAACAACAATAGAATTAAGGTCTTTTCCTGAACTTTGCTTATTTCATACCATTTTTACTGTGAAAAAGTGCATGTTATCTCAGCTTGGATAACTCGGATTAATTGAATTAGTTTACAAAAAATGTAAATATTGCCTGACTATACAGCCTCCTGTTACATAACTAAGCTCTATTTCATAGTGAATAACCTTTGAACTATAATCGATCTTAATCAGAAAAATATTTAGATAGATTTTTCCACCAAAAGCATTTCATTCAAATAAATTTGATTCAAACAAAAAAAAATTCAATGTAAATAAAAAATTCTGATTTAAATTTTAAAAAACCCAATGTTTTATTATTTTTTATAAAATATTGATTTTAATTCACCAATTTTAGCAAATTACACTACCAGAGTTATCATATTATATGCAAGGAGGTTTGTTTCGCTGTGCCTGTAAAATTGCAGTAATCTGCTAGGACAATGGCTGATGATCTACTTCTTAGATCTTTCTACAAAAAAAGAGTACGTTGAATTCTCTATGCCCCTGTGTCTGCATACAATAATTACTTGTGATGTGGAATATTTTTATTTTCCATCTAGAATGCAGACAGCTTGGTTTGGTCAAGTGAAAGGGCCTTGTCCATGAGAAACAAGTAAATCCAGACAATTACTCTTGTGGGGAGATGAGCAATCTTATAAATGTAATATTATGAAAAGCTGATATTTGGATATTATAGATTTCTGCTACATGCTGCTTAAAATCATATGCAGTGGTGCCTCGCTTAGCGATCGTTCCGCATAGCGAAGAAATCACTTAGTGACGGGGTTTAAGCGATCGCAAAAGCGACTGCTTAGCGATGGTCCCTATGGGGAACATTCGCTTTGCGATGATCGCGGGGAAGCGATCATCGCAAAGCCCCCATTTTCAGCGAGCTGATCGGAAGTTTCAAAATGGCCACCGGAAAAACAAAATGGTGCCCGCTGTGTTTGCCTCGCTTTAGAGGCACCGAAAATGGCCGCCCCTATGGAGGATTTTCGCTTAAGGTTAGTTTTTAAGCCCATAGGAACACATTAATGGCGTTTTAATGCATTACTATGGGCTTTTTAAATCCGTTTAGCAATGAAATCACTTAGCAACGTTTTTTCCTGCACGGATTAACGTCGCTAAGCGAGGCACCACTGTTTATTCTTTTTGTCTTACAGTCCTGGATGAATATTTTTAATTAGGAAAAGCAATGGGATCTGCTGCCAAATCATAATCTAACACGAGTCTCCCTAAATTGTTGGTTACCTGTGTATGCCTGTTTATTCCCATTAACATTTTTGGCACATAGGCACTTAAGAAACCTACATGGTCTCTGGAAGGAGGAATGTCAACATGTTTCCTTTCCTACTTCAGTTCTCTGCATTGCAGTTGGCATCCCACAGGGCAAGCAGAAGAGGACTTCTAGGAATTGATTTAGTCATATCACTACAAAATATGCAACACTAAATACTTCTGCTCCAAGGAACAGCTGAGCAACCATTCTCACAACAATGATTTATTGGTTGGTATAATAAAAGTGCCCCATTTTCTGTGATAATTTAAGAGCAGCCAATTCTTCCTGAGGAGGGGCATAACTCAAAAGAATCCTACACATTTCAAAAATGGGCAGATGCATCCCCACAAAACATCAGTGGATAGCACCACATCTTCTTGCTATTCCTAAGAGACACTCACTGTGCTCAAGCAGAAGCCTTCTGCAAGATCATTTTAATAATTAAAATCATTCTCCATTAGGATGTGCTTTTAACATGATCAATGAAAGTTAAACTATTTTGGCATGCATCATGGTCATATACCCAACTATCCTTTGAGAAAGGGAACAAACCTCCAGTATATAATAAAACTAATAATAATATGAGAAGCCTCGTGGCACTGTGATTAAACTGCAGTACTGCAGTGAAGAATCTGCTTATGATGACTTTAGTTTGATCCTGGGCTTGGGTAGCTGCCTTGAGGTTGGTTCAACCTTCCATCATTTTGAGGTCGGTAAACTGAAATGATCAACTCATGGGGGGGGGCAATGTGTACCCTGCATAATTAAATTGTAAACCACCCAGAGAGAGCTTTAAGCATGGTATATAAGCAGCAGACTTTCTTTACACTGCTTAAGGTGCACTGATCTGAACCCTTAGGCAGAAGAGCAAGAGCTAAATAAAGCACACAGTGTTTTCAATTACTATTAACAAGAAAGGAGGAACAAAGTGCAAAGCTGTATATCTAGGAAGATTATATATCTCAGAGAGGTGGTTATCATCATCTAGCTGTGAGTAAATCCCAATGCTTACTGCAAATGAAGCAGCATGGGGAGACATCTGCTGTCTAATAAGCCATTCAGAATACAGGCCAACTCTGGGAGGCTAGGATAGTAGTGAAAGCCATATGTTTATAAACAGAGAGATCATGCATGCAAGAAACAGGAAAACTGTCAAGAAATGGGCCGAAGTTTAGTGGCAGAGCACATGCATGCTGAAGGCCCAAGATTCCATCCCTGGTGTTCACAATTAGGTCTAGAAAAGAATCCAGCCTGAAACCCTGAAGGGCTGCTGCCAGTCAATGCTAGCAATACTGGACTAGGTGGATCCAGAGAACAGGCAGCTACCTATGTTCCTAAGCAGCTCATGAAATCAAATGGTCAAATAGTCCTAAGCAAGCTACTTCAGCCATCACTTATCCATACTTACTTGGGAAGAAGACCTGCTGAATTCAGTGGACTGAATCCTACTGGGTTTTTACACACAGACACACAAGATGAATCATGGAAGCTGTTGTGGCTAATTAATGAGGACATGTGACCAGGCACACAACTAACAGGAAACTAGCACTTCATCAATTAGCAGCTGCAGCTTCCATGATTTTTTTAATGCACATAAAATCCAATCAGATTTTCTTCTGAGTAGCTATGTATAAGATTAAAAAGCAAGTATATATGTATTTATATAAAAACAGAAATCCCACGAGACCCTTGCTATTTTTGCTGCAACAGACCAACAAAGTTGCTTTTCCAGATGTTTGATATGGCTATGATGAGAGCCTGAAGACACTATCCACGGTGAAAGCATGTGTAAGAGTTCCCTCCTCGGTACTAACCCTGCTGTTACACAGTGGCTTCCTTCAAAACATTTTACTGTGTTGCAGCTCCAGTGTCTTACTGTGATTAGGACTAAAGACGAGAAGCTGTTACTAGGCTTTCTGCAGTGTAATTAACTCTCCACAGGACTCATTCAGTGCTGCCAGCACTGAACTGAACCATTAGGTTTTTTTTTCCAAGTTAGATTTATGAACACTATGAAATATTTCTCAAGATGCCTGTTCTGCTCATCCTCCATTATGTCAATTTCGACCCACAGGACAACAGTACATCATTAAGCAGTCACAAGCACTTTCGATATAGCAGCTTTGAAAACATGCTGGTGGCAGTAAGTGTAGGAAAAACATTTTTGAAAGCTAAAGCTCACCGTAGATCTGTCTACATGGACTAAAATAAACTATCTGTTAGTGTCCCAAATTTAGAAAGCCTTCTCATTTTGCCTTGGCACAACCAACGTGCACACAGAAAGAGACCAACACATAAATCAGTGTCCGATACCTAAATGACTGGCTATGTTAAGCTGATCAAGTTACCCTTGTATTAGATCTCATTAAATCAATCAAAAGAATTGCATTGACATGCAAAGACTAGAGAGCACTACTTTTTGTTGAGCCAAGTTCATTCCCCTCTTTTTGTGGCCTTCCCCTGGTATTCTTTCTTTCTTCCAAAGATTTATACCCTGTCTTTCTTCTTTCTTCTCAAGAGGACCCAAGGTGGCTTACAATATTAAAAACAAACCATTAAAAAACTGGAAGGGAAGGGGGGAAAACAACCAACCAAGCAAAAACCCTTGCAGCAACCTAACTGTTAGGCAGCCAGTAACTGAAAAAAAGCTGGAGAAAGGCAACCAAGAGAGGGCTGGCCAGACCTCTCATGGGAGCCAGTGCCACAGCTTGCAAGCAGCAATGGAGAAGAAGTCCCTCTCTTGCATCCTCAGCAAATGCTCCAGTGGACAACTCTGTGCAGACACAATGGTGGTGAAGAAGAATGGCTTCTTGACTCCCACTGCCGTGATGGAATAGGCCTTCCAGTGTGACCTAGCCCACTGGTTCTTAACCTTGGGTTACTCAGGAGTTTTGGACTGCAACTCCCAGAAGCCTTCACCACCAGCTGTCCTGACTGGGGTTTCTGGGAGTTGCAGTTCAAAAGTATCCGAGTAACAAAGGTTAAGAACCACTGACCCATGTTCAGCTGAATTCACTTTGAGTTTTCTGCTATCACCAGCCTAGTCTCTGCCCCACTTGCTTAACCAACACAACTCCCTGGTGAATCAGGGGGCCAGTTAGGCTCCATTCCATGGGAGGGAACACTTAAGCGATACATCCATTCCAGAGGTCAAGCAGTGTTTAAAAAAAATTGCATGCTGGGGCAAAAGGAAACTCCCCAAATAGGAAACCATTTGGATGCATCAACCTCCCAGGCTAGATAATCTTTACCAGTCCTCACTCCTACAGAGGCTCAGAATTCCAGTGAATCACCAAGTAGTACTCTACTCATGACACTGGAACCACAGAAAGTCCCTCTTTATCTGGATCACTAAAACCTCCTCCAATATAAAAAAAATGGGTCTGAAGTGTGCCTTGTGGCATGGGTGGGGTCAGATACGATCTAGGACAGACCTATGGCCATTATGGAAGACATGGAGTTTTGAGCCAAGAATGACAAAGTGGCCTCAACATGGAGTTAGAAGTCCCGCAGCACAATGAGCTGAGCAGACTACAATGTCAAACCTAAGACTAGCTTGGCTAGCTAAGGAAGGGAGACTATTGAGCATTGAGGTGGATGGTGCACCAACAGAATCCCTATTCTCTCATGGGCTCCCACTTTCAGATATAAACACTTAAATCCAGAATACTGAGAAAGGTAACACCTGGTGAGGGAGATAGAATCTCAGTAGACCACTGCAACTCTACTTCACCATCACTTAGATCTTGACTGGTGCAACACAGATCCTAGTGGACAAAACTGAGCAAGATCTCCCTCCCGAAGCTTCATCCAACACGATCTCAGTGAAACAAATGAAGTCATAGTCATCCAGGATTAAATCTGACATGGCTGCTGTTTTCCCATTTACCAACCTGGCATTTATCAGTATTTTCAGCCCAGGGGGCCTGATGCCAAAGCTATCCAAACAATTTAAATCTGGGGACTGCTTGGAGACAACGAACATCTTGTTCTCTTCCCCTCTTACACAATGAAATAGCTACTACTACCCCCATATCTCCCCATCTCCAGTAAAACTCTCATGGCTGCTCCCCCCCCCCCATTTTTTATTTTCATATCAGGATAAGGGGGGGAGGGAACAATGGAGATAGGGATAAAAGGGGAGTGAGACTGAAAATGTACCTTACAAGATATTATAATCCCCATACAGTATATGATTCATTCAAATTATACTTTCAATATGTTATATAATCTGAAATCAGACATACTTCGTGTTAATCTAATCATTAGTTTCACGGCTGTTTATATTTTTATATTACCAGTTGCTCTTTCTATTTTGAAACCTTACGTATAGTTTTTCCTAACATTTCTAGTCGTTCTTTTCCTTTGTTTCATCTAGCCATTTTGATAATTTCTGCAATTTCAAAAAAATTGACTATCAGCTCCTCTGTTTGCAGTATCTCAGGCTCCTTGCAGTGTTTTGCAAAAGCTAATCTTGCAGCTGTTATAATGTGAATAAGATATTTCATAAAAATAATTCGGGTTTGTGAATACCTAAATATGTTTTTGCGAGATCCATTGAGTAAGATATTTCATAAAAATAATTCGGGTTTCATAGGGACTGGGTTTTCGAGAACCTCTTGTAACAGCAGCCTCACTTCCAATATTTTTGCGCTTTTTTACAAAGGCACCACATATGATAGAATGATCCTTCTGTTTAACTTCCAACATAAATTTAATATTTGGGCATTCATTTTGGCTAAGGTTATGGGCGTGATATCCCCTTCATGGATTGCTGCCTTGTCGTGGCGAAGGGGCTTGAGTAACTCAGGGAAGTTATGGGCTATGCCGTGCAGGGTCACCCAAGGCGGACAGGTCATAGTGGAGAGTTCCGACTAAACGCAATCCACCTGGAGTAGGAATTGGTAATGCCACTCCAGTATCTTTACCAAGAATGCCCCAT